TAAACACAGACTTGTGACCATAACACACTTTGAGAGAGGAAAAGTTCAAGAAACTTAATTAATTACGAAGACGATTGAATACATAGGGATTTTTAAGTCAGTCTTTTCGAGAAAGCATTCAAATCTCTAGTCCTGGATAGATGTTTTGGCTTGTCTCTCATCCATTTTGTAAAAAATATAAAAGTACTTCTCATCCCAGTACAAAGACACTTGCAAAAGCAAGCCAGATTGGAAATCGTCCTAGATTCACTTCTGGTTTTGGAAAAGCAATTAAGCAAATCTGAATTGTTTACCCCTCCAACATGTAATAAAATGCTATTTCCAGGAAATGCAATTCAGTCTTCTTTTGAGCCAGGAGGGTGATTCAGGGAGTCTGGAGCAGGCACAAAACGGAAGTTGAAACTGAGGATGCAAATTGCCTGAGCAATATTGGCTGAAATACATTTGTGGGGAAGAAGAATGCCAGCATCCATTTGCACCATTATTATGCCTGCAGACACAAATTATTGTCATATGAGGGGTGTTCATTAAAGATTTCCCTGACCCACATCTATTTATCAGATTTGCTTAATTACTTTTCCAAAACCAGAAGTGACTGTAGAACAATTTCCAATCTGGCTTGTTTTTGCAAGTGTCTTTGTACTGGGATGAGAAGTACTTTTGTATCCAAGCCGAAATATCTACCCAGGACTAGAGATTTGCTTTCTCGAAAAGACTGACTTAAGAGTTCCTATGAATTCTATCATCTTCATAATTACGTTTCTTGAACTTTTCCTGAAACTGCATGTGTAATGATATGTCTCTATATGTTACGTGCCAGTTTACAACTCTGAACTGACAATGGTCTTGATTTTATAGGTGTTGTGGTGTGAGGTTTGATCATGGACTCAGTGGAATACAGAGCAGTCCTCAAAGTCATGGACTCAGTGGAATACAGAGCAGTCCACAAGGTCCTTTACTTGAAAGGCTGCACACCAAAGGAGATGTTTGAAGAGATGAAAGGTTTATGGTGAGGATTCTCCATCATATGATGGTGTCAAGAACTGGCATCGTCAATTGAAATGCAGTCGGACTTCGATGCAAACAGTTCCAATTCCAGGGCGACCCCACTCTACTATTGATGAACACACCATCCAGCAAGTGGAGGCTATCATTTTGGAAAATCATCACATAACCATTCGTCTCCTAGTCCAACATCTCAAGATGAGTGTGGGGTCCGTGGGAAAAAAACCCATCCAAGACCATCTTCACATGCATAAGGTATCCGCTCACTGAATCCCCCAGAAGGACCGAGTCAAATGCTCTCAGGCCCTATTGATAATGTGCTGTGGAAACCAGGAGGACTTTTTCAACAGACTGATCACAGAGGGTGAAAGCTGGGTCCATCACTCTGATCCTGAGACAAAAGTCCAGTTGGTGCAATGGAAGTATCATGACTCCAAAGAAGGCACATGCCCAACTTTTGGCATGCAAGGTCATGCTCACAGTATTTTGGGACCAGCACAGAGTAGCATTGATGGATTTCCTAGCAAAGGGTACTATGATAACTATGCTTCACTGTTGTGGAAATTGTGGAAGGCCATCAAAACCAAAAAACATGACATGCTCACCAAAGGTGTCCCCCTTCTGCAAGGCAGTGCACCAGTTCACAACTCACGTTGCCCAAATGGATGCATGCTCCTGTGACTTTGAAATTCTACCGCATTCCCCTTATTCACCCAACCTCACACCATCGGACTTCCATCTCTTTCCAACAATGTTATTTTGGAAGAGCAAGCATTTTTGAGATGGTGAGACTCCGATTTCTGAGATCACAACATGGCTTTTGGAGCAATCTGTCGACTTCTACAAGCGAATTGTTTAGAGTTACTTAAAAAGATGGGGAAAGTGTGTGTCCCTAGATGGCACCTATGTAGAGAAGGACTAAGAACTGTGTCTCACTTCACAGGAAGTGAGTCAGGGGAATTTTTTTAATGAACATCCCTAGTACAGAAGGCCCTTGGTATGAACCAGAATTTAGTTCTTGGCACTCTTGGGGATCCCCAAATCCATGGATGCCCACATCCCATTATATACAATGGTGTGGTAAAACCATGTCCCTTATTTTACTACATAAAATGGCAGAAATCAACGTGTGGAAGGTGGAATCTGTATTCATCAAAGAGAGGAAGCTTCCTGGTACACAGTTTGGATTTACTTACTGCATAATGTCCACGCTCCTTCTGTCTTCTCAAGATAAAGGTCCAAGCTGGAGCAGCAAGCCGTTAGCAATGACCACAAAGACCCCCCACCGTGGTGAAATTAACTTTATTTAGTGTGATACACAGCTGTAATCTCGACAGTCAATATTCAATATATTAAGAGTCACCTACGTGGCTAACGGCTAGGAGACAGCAGAGCCAACAACGCACACTCAAATATAGTACACATCCACAGAGAAGGCAGTGGAAACGGGACGGTGCCCTTCACTAGGTTTCCCCTACTGCCTGCCCCACGCCCCACCCCTCCCCATAAACATTTATGTATATTTCCTTTAAAATCCCTATTCTCTGGAAAGGCAAGTTTCCAGCAAGTGTTGAGAGGATGCCACCACGACAGCAGTGGCAGGTCTGGGCTGCCAGTGCAAAAGGGAGAGCGGCACCAGTTCAACTGGAGAGAGGAAGAAAGAGAGAAACAGACACAGACAGGACACCAGCAATTCCCACACAACAGGGGCCATATTTACATACACAGGGTGAGTCCAGGCCCTTAGGCCTAGTTGTTCTGCTGGAACGATGAGAGAGAAAGAAGAGAAAAAAAGGTTTATTCCTAATGTCTAGGGTATCTGCACTCAGAATAGAGGAATGCCACAGGAGTCACAGATGTGGCAGATCCTACCAGAATAAGAACTGGGAATTTTGTACCCTTACCTATCCAAAGATTTTAAGAAGAGGATTTTGAATGACAAAAAAAACCTCACACATATACTTAGTTAATGCTTTAAAAAGGAAGAACTGGAATTTTAAAGTAAGGTTGATCGTTGGCTCCGAGGCTCAAGGGATTGATAGGGATCTCGAAATCCAACAGACAAGCGGAGAAAGATGGCATCAGCACACAGAATACCACAATGCTGATACCCGCAATGCTTTCTGGTCACAAAAGGAGAAGATAAATGGCTGGAATGGGGTGATTGCCTAATGCAGATGTTACCTTTGTGCACCACATCTGTGAGGAAGCCAGACTTAAATGCTCATCTTACTAGTGCGGCTCCAGCACAAGAACCACCTATTCGCAACAGCACTTCCTTTGGTTCAACAAAAAGGAGAAGCGGGGCCTTCTTATTTGAGCAGTAGCCATATTTGGGGGTGGAAATAATATTAAAAGATCCAGAAGACTTGCAGTATTGTTTTTCTCCTATTTAGAAGAATCTATGTTGCACTTTGCTGATACTTTGTGTTTGCTATAATACTTTCAACAAAAATAAGCAAAACTTGACAAGCAAAGCTTCTTTTGTTACACCACGATAAAGTGGCCATGCAACCGCTAAGGGAATAACAGTCCATCCCAGTGGTTCTCAATCTGTGGGTCCCCAAATGTTTTGGACTTCAACTCCCAGAAATCCAAACAGCTGGTAAACTGAGCTGTTTTGTGTTTTCCAGGTTGTATGGCCATGTTCCAGAAGCATTCTCTCCTGACGTTTCACCTGCATCTATGGCAGGAATCCTCAGAGGTTGTAAGGTCACAACCTCTGAGGATGCCTGCCATAGATGCAGGCAAAATGTCAGGAGAGAATGCTTCTGGAACATGGCCATACAGCCTGGAAAACACACAACAACCCAGTGATTCCTGCCATGAAAGCCTTCGACAATACAGCCGATAAACTGACTGGGATTTCTGGGAGTTGTAGGCCAAAACATCAGATTGAGAACCACTGGTCTATCAGAAAGAAAGTGAGCAGTCCTGCAAGGCAGATATAGAAAAGGAAGGAAACAGGCTAACCACTAAACACAGTATGGAGAGGATAACATGCACTTTAGAATCTGAAAATGAAGGCCCTGCTAAGCTATCCAAGACATAGGTATCTCCTCTTCTTTTGCTACAAACACACAAAGAAACCTTCTGATGTGGAAAGAGAGAGCTTTTCCAATGTTGATGGGACAGAGCTTCCTTTAGTGCTTTCCTTCGGACCTTCTGAAAGAAATACTTCTCTGGCCAAGTCATTTTTGTCCTAAAACAAGGCCAAGCCTGGCTGAAGCTTGGCAGAACAGACTGATGTGAGAAGTCACAATTAGTTCCTGTAGTAACAGGAAGGACATATCCTTCATTCCAAACCAGAGTGAAACCAGATATAGAAAATGCCTTGCTCTTATTTTCCTTCATAATAATGAACGAATGCCTAAAATGTGCTTGACACAGTGTGCCTCAGTCTACAGTCCTTTAAATGGGCTCACTGTGGGATTGCGGACGTTGGGTCCAGACTTTAGATTGTAGCCAGTGGAGAAGGTTGGACTATTCTCTCCCAGCAGAGACAAATCTCATCCCATGGCTATACAGATGCGGATGGAAGGTTCCCCAGGATTAGTTTCAGACATTTAGGAAAGAGTATGAGCCTGCGGGCTATATTTTGGGGCTTTTAAAACAGGTGAAAATCTCAAACCAAACAGAGTGGGTTGTTGTAGGTTTTTTTCAGGCTATATGGCCATGTTCTAGAGGCATTCTCTCCTGACGTTTCGCCTGCATCTATGGCAAGGATCCTCAGAGCATCCTCACTACCTCTGAGGATGCTTACCATAGATGCAGGCGAAACGTCAGGAGAGAATGCATCTAGATCATGGCCATATAGCCCGAAAAAACCTACAACAACCCAGTGATTCCTGCCATGAAAGCCTTCGACAATACATCAAACAGAGTGGGTTATCTAACTAACAAATACCACTCCTCACCATGACAAATGTCACCTATTTGTCTCCCAGCACAATTTGTACCTTGAGAAAGTTTGCAACCATAAGGTGGGGGAGAACACATTCTTTGCAAAATCTAATTTTTGTCCTCTAAAGACTTTCAGTAAACAAGTCACTCTTTTGCAGAGCAAGCAGATGTCAGACACAGCTTGAAGTATCAAAGTAAGTTGCGGAGGAGGGAGGAGGAGAATTATACCAGAACACAAAACCCTATATATCTATTTAACTATATATCACTTCATATACAGTGGCTGGACCCGTTCAAGGGGAATAACGATGTCATCCACTTTCAACTCTGAAGGCCAGGTGAGCCCAATAGAATGAAAAAATATAATTCAAATGAGAGTCCTGCCTATAGTTAGACATGGACTCACCCAACAGTGGTAGGAATGTGCTTGTTCATAGCCATCGGGGGGAAAAAAATACAACAATGGAGCTATGAAGCATGAAAAAAGCACTTTGCATATTTAAAATGAGACACAAGTGATAAATTATACAAAAATAGCAGCTCCTGGCATTTTACACGTCCCTGTTTCAATTCAGCTAAAAACGGTGAGGTTCACAGCTCCTTCAGAAAGAGACCTTGCTGAATGCATTGGGGGAGGAGGAAAAATAGAGTAGAGGTATAAGAAAGTAGTTGAGAATACCTAATCTCCTAATACTGAGACTCCCTTTTTTGTCACTATGCAGGAACCAGGTTTCCAACATAAGGTCTCTAATCAGTCCAGTTTTACCTGCTGCCCTCATTTGTGTTGACTGAGCACCAAAATCTTCCAGAAAAAGGGCAGCTTATCTGTCACTAAAGGTAACTAAGCCAATCTAGAGAGACAAAGGGGGGGGGGGGGAGTTGAAAGTAGAAACAATGACAATTTTGTTGCCCTTCCTCTCTATTTTCCAAGAAAGAGGATAGTTGGGAAAGTGAGCGGCCGGTGGCTGTGCGCCCTTTGCAGGAAGCCAGCGCTGGACTTTGCAAGGCTGCAGGAAGAGCCATGGCCAAATCCAACCAAAGGAACAATCTCTGGAAAGAGGGGCAAATCCAAAGCAAGACTAAAGAAGCAAGGGATGCCCCAGCTCCACTAGCTCCTTGGCTGTACCCTCCCCTTTCCCCCTCATAGGACAACACAGCGAGGTGAACACGCGCACAATAGGAAACCTAGTAAAAAAAGAGTGCCACCGCACCCAAGTGCAACAACCAACAAGGGACAGGACACATTGGAGGATTCACACCATGCAGTAGGGAGGGAGCAGCCAAGGCTGTCCGCAGTACAGGGAGGGGGGCTCAAATGCATATCAGACCCCAGGAAAGTTACACTTCTCTCGTCAATGAAAAGGGATGCTCTTCGGTGAGATCGGACTGGCCAATCGGGAAGGAGTCGCTGCACAACGGGATCCCTTTTAGCAGGAGCAGCCGCTCTCTGATACTGGCTGCTCAGGAGGTTTCTCTAGTTTGATGTCAATCACTGCAGATGGCAAGTTAAGAAGAAACACACTAAAAAAACAGGTTTAAGCTCATAAAGACAGAAAAGGGTCTCACTCAGGTCTTCCGTTGTGCCTTTGGAGATTGACCATTTATCCCACTTCTGTTGGCCCATCTATAGTGTTGCCCCTATGATGCACTTTCCCCCGCCCTAAACTGAAAGCCTTACCCCTTCTTGGCCGCCCCTCACGTACACATTTCTCTACCCCTACTTCACCCAGGGTTTTATCATTTTATCTCGTCCACTTGGCCTGCCCATCCTGTTCGATTCTATATTGTGTTAATTTGCTTTACTGTTTTGTTTTGCTACTGTAATTTATTTTCTGGTGTAAGTTTTGTTTTTTGCATTCTGTATGTTATTGCGTTGTATTGTATATTTTTTGGGCTTGGTCTCATGTTAGCCTCCCCGAGTCCCCATTGGGGAGATGGTGGCGGGATATAAATAAAGATTATTATTATTTGAAACACAACAAGATGAGTCCACAGCAGACACTCTGCTGGCTGTCATATTGGATCACACGTTGGACACTTCCCAAGTGTCTAGGACTGTGTGATGTATCGGCGAATAATGCATGCAGATCCCAGTAAGGTGGCCTTTTGCAGCTGGCAGATGGTAATTTTGTCAGTGCCGATTGTGTTTAAGTGCAGGCCAAGGTCTTTAGGCACTGCACCCAGTGTGCCGATCACCACTGGGACCACCTTTACTGGCTTGTGCCAGAGTCTTTGCAGTTCGATCTTTAAATCCTCATATTGTGTCAGCTTTTCCAGTTGTTTCTCTGCAATCCTGCTGTCGCCTGGGATTGCGACATCTACGACCCATACTTTGTTTTTTGTTTTAAAAGGTCAGGAGTATTATGCTCCAGAACTACTACTACTACTATTATTATTATTATTATTATTATTATTGCAAAACAGATCATTCATCTCACCCCTGCTATTCTGAAAGCAATCTTCTTTCTGGCTACAATTACAGTTCAATTTAAAAGAAGAGAGAATGGAGATAAAAACACATGAAAGATATTGAGTACAGTATACCATCGGACTGTAAGAAATATTTAAAAACTAACTAGGTATTTTTAATTACAAAAATGTGAGTCAAGCACTGAAAGGGTTAAATGGACACAATGCCTCAGCAAATGCTGCAGTTTAATATAAGCAGGTGCCTGTACGCCTCAGTGTTAGCTGCCCTCAGTATGAAAAGGCTTCAGCCTCAGTCTGAGAAAGGTCTCAGTGTGAGGTAAACCTCAGTGTTAGTAGGTCTCAGTGTGAGGTAGGCCTCACAGGTAGTAGGCCAGTATCCAAAATTTTATTTGCCCACATCCAAAAAAAATATGTTCTATGTACTCTGAACAAGTCTTAACAAGAAAACTGTGTAATAGGTTCACTTTGAGGTGAAGTCATACAATAACAAAAAACCTGGCCTTTGAGGCATTTTGGCTCCTGATATTCAAGAAATGGCTGATAGCAACACCTTGAAAAATAAAAGAAACTGGTATCTGCAATTTCATTTATGTACTTTCAACAACACACCCTCTCTAAGCATTTTCCAGGTCCTCTACTGCAACTCTTTAGTACTGTTGGTCCAGGTCCTTCATTTCAATGGGGTTCACAATTATCTAAGAATGTAATTCCCTTGGATATAGGGAACATACTGCATATGATCAGAGCGAAAGAGTTTTGTGTATGTGTTTTATTCTGTTTATTTTATATATTTTGTTGTGTTGTATTTCTTTGTTGCTTTATGTCTAATCATGCTGTATAATTTTTGGGCTTGGCCTCATGTTAGCCGCCCCTAGTCCCCTTTGGGGAGATGGTGGCAGGTTATAAATAAATTTTATCTATCTATCTATCCATCCATCCATCCATCCATCCATCCATCCATCTATCTATCTATCTATGGCATTTATATGCTGCCCTTCTCACCCCGAAGGGGACTCAGAAGTGGCTTACAATATATATTTTCATACAATATATTATATTATTAGCATAGTACAATATCAGTATATATATTACTATATTGCACTATACCATTATATTGTAATATTATTAGTAATATTACATGTAATGTAAATATATAATTATAATATTGTATTATTATTACTAGTATTATATTGTATTACATTATAATATTATATGTATATACAATATACTATATTATATTATTAGTAAAGACAAGATGGAAATGTCTTCTGCTCCCCTCTGTCTTCGCTCTGGCCAGAGCAGCCGTTGGTGCCACAGGGGGGAGGGGAGATTATTATTATTAAAAAAAGATTATTATTATTATTATTATTATTAATATCCTGCTCCACACACACATCCATGTGGCATTAATAACAGAAATAAGCAATGTAAGTGGAGATTCCCTCATCAGAGTCACCAAAGTTACATTCTACCCAAATTTTACACAACAGAACTGCACAGGAAAGGGGAAAGGGCATGCACAGAAATATTGTGGAGGGAAGGAAGCTGCTGAGACTCAGCACAAGGATACTGTCATCTTTGCTTTTCTCAGGAGTGCTGTCCATCCCAGGTAAAGCGGCAGCCACACGGCGGAAAAGCTGACAGGGAACATAACAGGTTCTGGTTAGTGTTTTGCAACAATTGTGAATTGCACATAGTAAGCAGATAAGGCAGCAGTGAATCAAGAATTCTGAACACAGAAACTCTCATTACAAGCGAAAGAGAAAATCCTCCACTACAAAATGCCAGCTCAGTTATGGCACAACTTGATGATGATGATGATGTTTCTTTGTATCCCACTTTCTCTCTCCACAAGGAGACTCAAAGTGGCTAACAATAAAATCATTACAATACAATTTAAATATACAAATCTACAAATAAAACAGTATTAAACATCATTATTGTTAAAAACAATTCAGATTAAATCTATAAAAACATTTTTAAAATCATAGCAGCCCCTGATACGATATTAAAAACATCTTCTTTAAAAGCCTGACTAAATAAAAAGTCAATATATATGAATTACAATAAATTAAGCTACAAAATCCTACTGTAAGGATCTTGAGTAAAAACGGAAGTTATTTCTCTGGAAAAAGCCCCAAATTACCTGTTTCACATTATAGCCAGTCTTTGCACTGGTCTCGATGAACATCACGCTCAGTTCTTTAGCTCGCTGCTCGCCTTCTTCTGTAGTTATTTGTCTGGAGAGAATAGTTCAAATAGGACAGTGAGAAAGAAAAGGCATTGGTCACTTGAGATAAAAGTCCTGTTAATTATGCATTAATGTGACGAAAGGACCAAAAGTCTCCTGGAACTGAAACTGAGGCAATGCACAGACCACACCAGGAAGCGGCAGGAAAATTAGAAATCCTGAAGCAATAGTTCAAACTATTGATTTGCCCACCACTCTTTCTTAGGATAATCAGATCTTTCTCCCTTTGTCTTAGCTTACTTCAATTGCTTGAAACTGAACTCAAAGTGGAGAAGTAGTTTGTACTCAATGCAGGGGTTGGGTTGGGGGCAATCTCTTCCCATTCTTTATCGAGGCTAGTAAAGAAATGTTCCAGCACATAAACCATTAGGGAAAACTACCCAAAATTATAGCAGAGCATCCAAAAACAAACAGGATACTAAAAGTTGGAGCATCAGCTCACAGCAAGCAAGGCGTGAAGTGCCGTGTGATGTGGCTATAAAGAATAAAGCAATTGAAAACAGCTTTAGCAGTGATTAGAGAAATTAGGTACCACTAAAAGTGGGGGAGATGTTTTACTACGCCATAAAGAAAAAAGATAAGAAAATGCTGGGTGACCAAAAGGAAGGAAGAAGTCCTGACAGCTCTTCATCATAGAGGATAGAGCAACAGCACCCCCTGGACTCAAGCCCAAGCTTCCATGGCACCAAAAACAGCTGGACATTGAGTCGAAACAAACCACCTCCTTCTGTTCTGTCTGTGTATTATCTATACAAAGCAGCATTTAATGTTTGTCATGCATGTGTACTGTGATCTGCCCAGAGTCCCGTTCTGGGTGAGAAGGGCGGAATAATAATAATAATACTTTATTTGTACCCCGCTACCATCTCCCGAGGGACTCGGTGCGGCTTACATGAGGCCGAACCCAAACACAACAATAACAATAAACAGCAATAATACCAAAAAAATAAAAAAAAATAAAATACAAAACTCATAGCAAAATAACAAAAATAATAACAATAACATGACGCATTTAAAAACCAATGGCTGGGCCAAATGCAATAATTAAAAATTTAAAAAATAATGCTGGGCATGAACAGGTAGCATGTAATTGGAATAAAGGTTTTGAAGAGGGAAGAAATGTGCAGACAATCCAAAATCATTATTAAAGTGCATTTGAGGACATACTGCTACTACTACTACTACTATTATTATTATTATTATTATTATTATTATTATTATTATTAAGAAACAGAAGTCAGATTTTAAAAAAAGGCTTTCAGTATAAAAATATCCATTCAACACAAAAAATCAGAATGAGAGCAGAAAGAGACAAGAGAAGAAAAAGATACATTCCCAACTGCCATACAGAAGACATGGGGGAACGGAAACCCTCAAGACTATTTTAATGCTAACTAACTTTTCCTTGAGGACTTGAGACTTGGGCAGTGTGGGGTTGAATTCCAACAACAACCCTCCTCCCTGGGTCTAATTTCCAAGCTCCTTGAATTACCTCTTGTCTGCAAGGTCGGTTTTATTCCCCACCAGCATGATGATGACATCACTTCCTCTTTCTGTTCGAACATCGTCGATCCACTTGGAGGTTTGTTGGAAGGAATTTAGATCTGTTAAGAAAAAGGCAGCTTTGTTCATAATAGTCAAAACTCAAGAGAAGAATAAAAGCTTCACAAAAGCCACTTTGCAAAAGCACAGTATGAGTGTATTTGATTTGCGCAACACAGAACAAGCCCAACAATCTCTCTTTATAAGGATTACTCAGGGTCTCTGTCCCTCAACGTCTCACAATTAATCAAATCTCTCACTCACTTGTAATGTCATAGACTACCACTGCAATAGTTGAGTCGCGGATGTAGCTGGGAATGAGGCTACGGAACCGTTCCTGGCCCGCTGTGTCCCATAGCTGGAGTCGGACCTGCTGGTACCAGTCCAGAGAGGAAGCAGAAAGACAAAAGACAGAAGAGGAAGAAACTGTCCTTTAGAGAAAAGGCAATGTATTAGGAAGGATCTTAATAGAAGCGCAAAGATTTGCCTCGCACTACAGGCCTCTCAACGCATAGATAGTTCAGCAGAAAATAGTAAGGAAAAAAGAAAAACTTGGTGGGACTTTGCGACCATAAATCTAACTGTTCCATTACGTGCCTACGCTTCACCAAAGGAGGGTACTAATGAGGATAAGTGGCCATGCCAATGGTGCATATTGAGAGCATGTATTTAGGAGCAGTCTTTGTCCATTAGAAGACTACAGGGGAGACTTGGGGGTATGTGAAGAGGACTGCCCATATTAAGACCATGTTCTTCTGAGAAAGTTATCAAACACAAGCACACACAGGTAAGTTCCAAAATGGAAAAATTAAAAAAAGTTGCCAAACATCTGATTATCTTATGAGTATAACCTCAGTGAATTACCCACACTTATTTTCAGCATGAGTAAAACACAGTGTATTCACACCATCAAGAAGAGGAACTACCTTGGGAAGTCTGACTTGGTCACAGTAGTCCACGCTCTGGTTACATCCCATATAGACTACTCCAATGCTCTCTACGTGGGGCTGCCTTTGAAAACTGTCCAGAAGCTCCAAATGGTCCAATGAGCGGCAGCCAGGTTGCTAACAGGAGTGGCGCTCAGGGACCATACAACTCCTCTGTTGTGCCAGCTCCATTGGCTGTCAGTCTGCTACTGGGCACAGTTCAACGTGCTGGCTTTAGCCTATAAAGCCCTAAGCGGTACCGGGCACAATTCAATGTGCTGGCTTTAGCCTATAAAGTCCTAAACGATTCTGGCTCAACTTACATGTCCAAACGCATCTCCCCTTATGAACCATCTAGGACCTTAAGATCATCTGGGGAGGCCCTGCTCTCGTTACCGCCTTTGTCACAAGTATGTTTTGGTGGAGACAAGAGACAGAGCCTTCTCGGCGGTAGCCCCTTGGCTGTGGAACGTGCTCCCTATAGATATTAGATCGGCCACCTCCCTTTTTAACATTCCAGAAAAAAGTCAAGACGTGGCTATTTGAACAAGCGTTTCCAAATGTAGAGCAACTGACATAGGAAAATGGAACGACAACAATGAGACCGGACAACATTTTTAACAAGGAGACACTATGAATTTATATTTTATTGATATGTTTAATTTTTATTATATGTTATGTTTTTAATTGTATTTATGATATTGTAAGCATTGAATTTTACCCTGTTAACCGCCTTGAGTCGCCTGAGGGCTGAGAAAGGCGGTATACAAATACAGCAAATAAATAAAAATACTTCCTTCATAAGGTCAACAGCAAGGAAGTGACACTGTCAAAAGGGGAACCTTTGCTTAGCCCTGATATGTGCATTTATGACAGTGGAAAAATATGGAATAATCTCTAAAAAAAACCTATCCTCAATCTTAATCACAGGGAAATTAGGATAAAAGTGTATCACGATTTATTTTATACTAGCTTGGGTACACAACGTTGCCTGGATTATTTGAAAAAGTCAATTGAGTTGAAAAGGGTAGGAAAGGGTTAAGGGAGAGGGAGTGGGCTGATCATGCAAATTCCACACCAATTGAGAGAGTAAGAAACACTGGGATGTCTCTGTGGTGGAGGAAACATGTAAAATCTAGGATGAAATTGTCCCCAAATGAAAGCATTCCTTGGGTGGTGGGCAGTACGGTGTTTGGGGAGGACATTGGCAGGGGTTGGGCTACATGTTCATGGCACTCTCTAAAACCTGAAATGTCACTGGAGGGAGGGCTTTTGGTGGCTCCCAAGTACTGTGGGTTAAAGCTATTTGTGGAAGTGGAACCTGTCTATGGAAGTGGGCACCCCAGCCATGCACACACATACATATTTTCATTTTATTAGGTATATAGATTATTCAAACATGACCTTGATATGGGGATATAACTACTAAAATTCCCCACCCAACTTGACCAGTTACAGACTCCAAAAGGAACTTTTCAAGAGACACAGGACCAGAAACCAGAATAAGATACTGAGTCCATGGATTTTATTTTTATTTGAATAAACATTTTGATAATTATTCATACATGTCTATCATGGGGTGGAAGAGAATGGCAAAGGAGGACACTAACAGGGAAGAAAGATTCAGTCAGCTGGAACAATGAAGGACATAAATGGCAAGAAAAAGAAAGAAGTAGGTGAACTACTGATGAAGGACAAACAAGGTCAGGGACTGAGGGAGTGACTGTCCACCTGCCTCTGTGACTGCAAATGTCCTTTTTCCTCTATCAACATTTTAGTGTACCTGGACAGGGAAACGTGGCAAAGTCTGCAACTAGCCAAGCCACTGAGTAATTTGGCTAAGGAGGTCACTGTCTAAACTCCGCTGAGGATGTCTGTACTGGAACTCGTTTTGATGGCACAATCAATGCCCAAGGAAAATGGAAATATTGCAAGCCAAACACAGCACCCCACAACTCATGATGTGACACCCTTGTCTGAAAAGCTCTAAACACAGAATTATGGTATTTTCCACCAGTTGTTATAGGATCATAGAGTTTGAAGAGACCACATGAGCCATAGTGCTCCTGATAGATGGCCACCCAGCCCATTTAAACCTTTAAAGAAGGGGCTTCTTTGTTAAAAATTATTCTGGATTTCTGACTCTTTGGTTTCAAATTTTCAATCCAAGTTACGGGGTAAAAATCTGAGAGCCCTTTTACATTATCACTTTCTTTTCTGCAAAAATAAACTGACAAGACTCCCCTTTGGAATGATTTAAAAAAATCTGATACAGTGCAGTGAAGGGTCATTTTACTCAAACACATGAAAATGTGTCTCAGCCTGTGGTTCATGGCTACAAGGGCAAATTGTGCTCTTGAAGGTGTGCTGAATCTCAAGCTCTTCAGTCAGAATGTTGGCATATATTATACAGCAGTGGTTCCCAACCTGTGGGTCCCCAGGTGTTTTGGCCAACAACTTCCAGAAATCACAGCCAGTTTACCAGCTGCTAGGATTTCTGGGAGTTGAAGGCCAAAACATTTGGAGGCCCAAAGGTTGAGAACCACTGCTATATAATAACCTTTCCCTCTCAAACCTATTCAGTGCATACCCGCTTTACATGTACAGTAGTCCCGCTTATCCAACCTTCGCTCATCCAACGTTCTGTATTATCCAATGAAGTCTGCCTCCCTCCCAGATCCACAGCTATTTCAATACATTACGATGTTTTGGTGCTAAATTCCTAAACACAGTAATTACTACATTATGTTACCATGTATTGAACTGCTTTTTCTGTCAGTTTGTTGTAAAACATGTTTTGGTGCTTAATTTGTAAAATTATAATGTAATTTGATGTTTAATAGGCTTTTCCTTAATCCCTCGTTATTATCCAACATTTTCACTTATCTAACATTCTGTCGGCTTGTTTATGTTGGATAAGAGGCTCTACTGTATTGCTTTTTTACTCATCTGAGGCAAGCTCTGAGTTTCAAATACAAAGAACTTACAAATTATTTCCAACCAAACTTTTGTTTATCCACCCCCCCCCCGACAGCCAACTGTGTGTCTTGTTCCAAACAGCTCTGTTTTTCACAAAGTGGACACACACATATGTTAACTAATAAAACCAAGCAGAGAATGTGCAGAAAAGAATTCAGAAACTTCTGCCTGATTGTCAGTGGCTGAGGATTAAGAAGCGACATATTTCTCCAGCCTTTAAGGAGGAACAAACAAAAGAGCCAGCCAAAAGTGAATACTCCTATACTACCCAGATCATCAAGAACGTCACTACATATTTGTGAACGCATAACTAAGATTTCGTAGATGCAAAATATGCTTAGATGCATTTAAAATGGACTTTAACACTCATGAAGCAGTAATCAATACTTGCCAGCCATAATTGTTAAATGGAAATTATGTTTAAAACCACTTTCTCTCTACATTTGGGATTTCTAGAGCTAAACAATTGTTTTCGATCACATGTTGAACTCTGTGATCTCTGAAAGTGACCAAGCAGTTTTTCGGATCTACGAAGTTATTTTGGAAGCACCAAGGGCATAATAAAAAAAAACTAAGGAATTCATTCTGGTCTTTTCTCATTAGTGTTGACTAATATCAATAATGTATCATGTTCATTGGAAAAGATGCAATGTCATGGCAAAAGTGCTATTAGAAACAAAACAAACTCCTGGATAGTAATGATGAATACCTAGTTTCATAGGCTATCTTCCAAATGGATCCTCTCCTTATATGAAAACTGTTTTTAGGAAAGCAGAGCCATAAATTAAAACTTAAGCACTGAAATCTTTTTATTGTCTTTTACAACAGGAATAAATATTAATAGATCACAAGGAGGAATATTTTATCTACATTGCTTACCAAAATCTGTGAAATTCTTTGTCTACCTGTTTCCCTTGCAAAAAGCAGTGAATCTTACAAAGCTATAAGTGCAGGGTTAGGGTTAGTCTGCTCTACAATATTTAATTGAGTCTAATGCACCACTGAATTTAATGCGCACTTCAATTTTCAAAACCCTGAAACCAAAAGAAAAAAAAGTATTTGCTGGCAAATATCGTGTGCAAAAAGTAACAAAAAGCACACTCTTTGTAATTTGGCCAAAATAGGTGTGCATTGCAGTTTAAGAATTCCTTCTTAAAAAACAAAGGTGTTAGAACACCAAAGCTTCCAGTGACGTCTTGAGCTTTCTCTGCCAAAGAATGCTGGTGGCTCACCAAACTACAAATCTCAGGAACACATAGCATTGAGCAGTGGCAATTAAATTAGAGATGACATCCTTCTAATAGGTGTTCCATGTGCTTCTGAAGCAGCTTCTCCTTTTGCTTTGGCTCTGCACTGAGATTATGATATGACACAAATGTAATGAGCACCCTAATTTTAGTGAGGGAATTTAGTCGAAAAACAAGAGCATTAGAATTGAGTAAACAGGCTATTTCCTATGGTGGACAGGAATGGGAGTTCTTCCTTTGGAGCTTGGCCTGAGAAGAGCCTATGCCTAGTACCTACTTGTCAGGTCAAAGACAATCACAGCCGCAGCAGAGTCCCGGATGTAGCTGGGAATGAGGCTGCGGAACCTCTCCTGGCCGGCTGTGTCCCAAAGCTGAAGCCTGATCTAGGAAAACAGAAAACGTGGGGGAAATGGCGGAAGGGGGGGGGGGGAGGAGCAGGAACATGGAAAAGAAAACAACAAACTCATGTGAAATTATAAAAAAGAATGCAAAACTTTGAGGCAAACCAACACAAGTAACAGATGGAAGGGGGAAGTTAAAATGAACCAAAAATACAGCGCAAAATAAAATGGAAGAGCTTGCTAAAGTATCCACTCCTCTTCTAAATTAATTCATTGATCCTGAATCAGTCTTACCCTCTGGATGACAATCATTTAGCTAAAGGTTTCTTCTCTTTAGAGCATCACAACAGGAAACAGTGTACACACTGGGAAATCAGAGACCCAGTCAAGTCCTTATGAAAGCTCTACTAGAAGTTATGGTTAGTTCTTGATTTCCTTATTACTCACATCAGTCAAGATCCGGGCCAAGGTCTCTCTGACACATAAATGCTTTAACTCAATATGAACAGCAAGAGACATCTCAGCAGACATCTCCACATGAACTTCAAGCATGTCTACATCTCAAATGAATTGCACAATAAAGGCAAAGAAGTCTCGCCAAAGCCTCTGTTGCTATTCAGGAGAAAAGCGGTTAAATAACCTTTTAGCTATGTCTGGGCTGATAATAGGGCACAGAGTCTGGCTGCTCAAGACTGCAACTTGAAATAATGAATGACCCTGTATTCCTGCCTACAGCCATCCCCTTATGTACAAGAAGTACCCCTCTATCTGAGACAAGTCATTTTAATGAACTCAGATTACTCCTAGGTCACCTTAAGTCAGCAAAAAACAAGATAATAACGGGGATACAGCCAGTTCACTTGGGGATGCCAGACAACACAATGCTTTGTATCATTTAAGCAGGGCCTGAGTGGCAAGTCTTTGGTGTAGAAAAAGGGGACTAGGCTCAAAGCCTTGCTTTGGCATCATGCTCACTAGGCAAACAGTCTCTCAATTAAAATGAAATAAGGAGGTTTCAGGCCATACTATAAATCTGACACTGTCTTAGAAACAAAGAACATGAAGCACAAGACTGGCATCTCCCCAGGCCCAAGAACTGCAGTCTGAGATCAATATCCCATAAAGGAAAGTAATTCAGTGAGATTAGAGTCAAAACTACTCTCAATATGTGTGTGTGTGTGTACACCAATCCAATTTTGCAAAAGTTCTGTTTTATGATGTCAATTCTCAAACATCTCATTCACTCCTGCATTAAAAGAACACAGTTCTAACAGCTGCAGATGAGGGGAAGACATGCTTGAATAACAGAGACCGTGCCTACAAAATGCTCCCATGTTCAGTGGGGAAAGGAATGCTATACTCTGGGTAGTTAAATCTTCCTTTTGGACAGCACAGGGTGCAATAGATTGACTCCCACATCCTCATTGGGCTAGTCCTCTCTTTCACAAATTACAATTGGGATAATGAAGCAATTCAAGAGTGTTCCTGAAATGCAGATGGTTAAACGTAGCATGGTTCTCTGCAGTTGTCAACACATCCTTGCCAATGGTAACATACAGATGACCCCACTCACCGTACGGTCTTCTAAATACATGGTCTTTGAGAGGAAATCAATTCCAATAGTTGCCTGGAAAATGAGGGGACAAAGTCTGAATAAACCTGAACTATACAATGCATTTAAGAAGCACAATGGTCAAATTTCATTTTCATTCATTCTATAGATAGACACATATACATACATACATACACACATACATATATACACACAGAGTATTATATAGCAATAGGCGCTCCAGCTTTCAGAGGGTTAGGGGCACAAAACCTCTGTAAAAGTAGAAGAATGCAAATTTTAAAAAACTGAACTAAGAACACTTTTCTAGTAATTTCTACATTCTGTAATGCAGCTTTACAATCATTTTCTGCTGGATGTTGACCAGAGTGGCCTTAAAGAACCCAAAAGGACATATCAATAAAATCTGTGATTAATAAAATCTGCAAAACCCATAAACGTGGAGTATGACAGTATATATAATAAAATATGAAGCCAGTATAAAATGATCAAACACTAGACAGACAAAAAAAATCAGCTTTTAAATAAAATTAGAGGTGCAGTCATGTGCCCATATGTCTTAGGTGATGAACTTCCAAAGATGTGAGGCAAAAACTCAAAGGAACTGGCTTGTTGTAGGTTTTTCGGGCTACATGACCATGTTCTAGAAGCCTTCTCTCCTGACGTTTCACCTGCATCTATGGCAAACATCCTCAGACAACCTCTGAGGATGCTTGCCATAGATGCAGGCAAAATGTCAGGAAAGAATGCTTCTAGAACATGGTCATATAGCCCGAAAAACCTACAATAACCCAGTGATTCCAGCCATGAAAGCCTTCGACAACACTCAAAGGAACTGTTCATGATAACAACTGAATCCACAATTTCTAAAGCTGGATCACAACAGTTGGTACTAAGTTTATAATTTAACCAGCAAAATGAGGACTATATAAATGATTATTCTAGTAGGCGAACATTTTTTTGGTTCTGACTGTGAAAACAGATGTAAATTGAATTTGGTGTCATTTGTTTTATATACTGATTTTAGTTTTGACATTGCAATGGCTTCCAAGATAGTCAATCACATTTTCTACCCCAGATGAAAAATATGGCTGTATCCAAATATGGCTGTTTCCTCTTACCTGGTAAGTGTTGTCAAAACTATCATACATAAATCTGGTGATCAGGGAGGTCTTTCCAACTATAGAGAAAAGGAAAGGAAAAGAGTTATTCCTCATCTACGAAGTGACAACAACATTCTTCCAAACACTTGAAATCTCTCATCTGCTTATCCTATTAGATTATATCTTTTTTGGAAATATGGTGAAACTATAAAAAGCAGCAAGGGATTGTGAACTTTTTCCTGAAAACTAGGGAGAATATTGTAATTATGTTTCTCCATGAAATAATACAATTATTACTTGTTTTCACCCAGATACAAAAACAAACATAAACATGGTGTTTCATCACAATGTGAATCAAATACAAGTTCCAGAATGCTAATCCCTGTTTATTTATTTTATTTGTTTACAACATTTCTATCCTGCCCTTCCCAACCCCCGAGGGGGGACTCAGAGCGGCTTACACTGGCAACATTTGATGCCACAAAATGACAATATAACAGCAATATAAAACCATAAATAAACAATAGATTAAAAACAATAAACATTAATTATTACAATCATGTAGCCAGTTGCAGTATAAATAAACTTTATTTTTTATTTACAACACGGTTTTGTGACTGTACCAGGAAATGTTAATGAGTCTCATCCAAAACAGGGATGTACCATTAATAGAAGTCTTTATTTATGGCATGCCTGTTGTATATATACAACCACACACTACAATTATTTCAAGGAAGACCTGCACATCAGTCTTAATGCCACACAGAACACGATGCTACAATCCCATTTGTCTCAGAAGACCTTTTGTTTTGCGATTCCTGAAATCACTTTCTTCATCAGCATAAAGCAAAAACCTATGCTTGTTGTGTACGTGCAACTTATGGCAATCACATGAATTTTTCATATGGTTCTCTTTGGCAAGGAACACTCAAGAGGTGGTTCTGCCAGTTCCTTCCTCTGAAAAATAGCAAAAACAATTTGGGGTCCAGACACACCATAATACTGTGTAGCTTTGTGCTTCCAGATAAGGTCCCTTATAATGCTTCAAAGATAATGGATTTTGAGCATTAGCCAACAGTGTGATTTAAAGCACTGAATATAAATTTACATGAACCAATTCCAGCCCTGATGCTTTTAAAATAAAAAGGTTGAACTTCATTTTATTAGTCACACATTGGGTGATTGGTATTATAGGAGTGAAGGGTCCATTCACATTGACAACTGAGATAATATGAAGGGATGAGCTCATTCACTTAATAAGCTCTGTAAATTGTTAATGTATTAATATAGCAATGGATTAAACCAGTGTTTCTCAATCTTCCTAATGCCACGACCCCTTCATACAGTTCATGTTGTGGTGACCCCCAACCATAACATTATTTTTGTTGCCACTTCATAACTGTTGTTTTGCTACTGTTATGAATCGTAATGTAAATATCTGATATGCAGGATGGATTTTCATTCACTGGACCAAATTTGGCATGAATACTCAATATGCCCAAATGTGAACACTGGTGAGTTTGGGGAAAATAGACCTTGACATTTGGGAGTTGTAGTTGCTGGGATTTATAGTTCACCTACAATCAAAGAGCATTCTGAACCCCACCAATGATAGAATTGGGCCAAACTTTCCACACAGAACCCCCATGAACAACAGAAAATACTGGAGTGATCTGGGTTGAATTGACAGTGATTTAGGGGTGATGTAGTTCATCCACATCCAGATAACACTGTGAACCCAAACAAGTATGCCAAATGGATCCTCTAGATTGGATTACTGTAATGCGCTCTACGTGGGGCTGCCCTTGAAAACGGCTCGGAAATTCCAACTGGTCCAACGGGCGGCGGCAGGATGTTAACTGGCGCTCCTTACAGAGAGAGGTCAACCCTCCTGTTTAAGGAGCTCCATTGGCTGCTGTTTACCTACCGAACCCAATTCAAGGTGCAGGTGCTTACCTACAAAGCCCTGAACGGTTTGGGACCTGCCTACCTGCGTGACCGCATCTCCGTTTATGAACCCACGCGCTCCCTCGTTCATCCGGAGAGGCCCTGCTCGCGATCCCACCTGCGTCACAGGCGCGTTTGGTGGGGACGAGGGACAGGGCCTTCTCTGTGGTTGCCCCCCAACTCTGGAACACCCTCCCCAAAGACATTAGACTAGCACCCACGTTGGCAGTCTTTAGGAAGAACTTGAAGACCTGGCTATTCCGATGTGCCTTTCCAGAATAGGATAACCCCCAGCACTATGTCCCAGAAGCACTTTATTAGAGTTTAAGACTCTCTGCACATTGCACTTGCCCAGAATTCCAACATACCACCGTCACATCCAGCACTTTTTAACCTGTACCCATCACTGGCCCGGCCCTGGTTTTTACTGTGTAATAGTGTAATGTTTTGTCATTGCTTATGTTTTAATTTTTGCTTTGTATCGTATTGTTATTCTTTGCTGTTGTTGTGTTGAGGCCTTGGCCTTTGTAAGCCGCATCGAGTCCTTCGGGAGATGCTAGCGGGGTACAAATAAAGTTTAATAATAATAATAATAATTCCTAAGACCATCAGAAATATGTATTTTTTGATGGACTTTGGTAACTCCTCTGAAACCCCCTCGTGACCCCCCCCCAGGGCCCCCAACCCCCCGGTTGAGCAAGAGGTTAAACCCTTGTGCTGACTGAAAGGTAACAGTAGTTAAAATCTGGGTAGTGGGGTGAGCTCCCATCTGTCAGCTCCAGCTTCCCATGTGGAGACATGAGAGAAGCCTCCCACAGGATGGTAAAACATCCAGGCATTCCCTGGGCAACGTCCTTGCAGACAGCCAATTCTCTCACACTTGAAGTGACTTGCAGTTTCTCAAGTCACTCCTGACATGAAAAAAAATGCCAAAAGCAGTGCTCAGGACAACTGACCTTAAACAACAAATTCATATAATCTTTGATAATAGATTTGTTTGTTGTTAAAACAAACAAATAACAAAAGACCAATTAAAATAAACAAGGATTGGGAATCGAGGAATCCTGCTAAGCAGAGCAAACAGAAATTAGTAACAATCTGACTTCAGCAAATATCTTGTAAGAGTAAGCAATATTATTGGTTACAAAAGGCAGGAAAGACAATTGCAATTCCAAGAAAATGTCTAGTTTTGTTTCCTTCTTCTCCGTTTATGTATCTATAAAGGTAACATGTAAAACAATTATTTCCCCCATTAGTCATTTGTTACTTCTTATGAGGGGATCCACTGGCTTCTTCACTACGTTTATAAGGATTTGTGAAAACGTATCTCTTTAATTATGTTTTGAGCTCTGCAAAGTATCAACATTGAGATGCAAAGTAGCTCTTCAGGGTTTCACCATTTGTAACCAGGCATGAAGCTTGAGGGGCTTCAGCCCCCCCCCCTGAAATTCTCATGGTGGTTCGCGAAAAGGCCTTACTGGTGCATTATTTAAACTGTTATGTTTATTCATATCATGATCTGATCACCATACTCAATATATCCCATATGCATGGGGGTATTGGGGTAATGATACAAAGGTTTGCTAGGGTAGACCCTCTTTCACTCAGTCTCAGCCCCCCCCCAAACCAAACCCTGAATTTTTTTTAGCCCCCCCCCCCCAAAACGAAATCCTGGCTACGGGCCTGTTTGTAACCCATTCCAATACTACTGCATTACATTCAGCACATGGCATAATGAACTCATCAGGAAGGAAGAACAGAAATGGTTGTAAATATAAAGTTTCTGAAATGGCTTCTTACTGAAGTCTTGACATTTTAACAGAAGTATGGCATTCAGCATAATGATGGTGCCTCACAAGGCATTTTAAAACACTTTCATCGGGCAAAAGAGTGGACTGTCTCAGGCTTATATAGTGTACAACCCTCTACTCTGAAAACCCATGAATGCCCCCAAAAGGAAAGGATTACTGACGTTGGCTTCTGAATAATAAAACACCATCTTATCCTCTCATAACCCCTGGCTTCTATAGGCTTGGAAGGCCCTGAAATTAATTAGAGAATACAAGAACGTCACTCCTTCCCACGCCTCCTACCCACCCAGATGGCATCACAAAGGGGAGAGAAGTGTGATAAGAGAGCTCTTCTGCAGTGCATCCTGAGGATGTGATGGCTCATGATGCCAAATAATCTTGAAGGGGCCACAAGGCACACTCTTGGTGCTGTGGTTTCTTCCCTGCAACAGTCTGCCTTGGCTATCATCCCCCAACATGACATTTTGGCCTACATAACACTTCCTGCAAGTATTGAGTTGATAACAACCATCAAAGCAACATGATCACCATGTGGTAGTTCATTCCTTGGGTGTGTGTATGCATAGGTACATCTGCAAGTGGCATTTAAAGTGGGGTCAAACTGCTATAATTCTTGTTCTAAGGAAGCCACTGGCTGCCTCCACATTATTTCTCTGTATACACACATATGTCTATTTGTGGGTATAAATTAAAGTGTAGGTATATGTTGTGCTGGTGTATATACCATATATGTTTGCATGCACACATATGCATATCCATGTGTGAATGTGTGTGTGTGTATATATATATATATATATACACACACACACACACATACACACATGTGTATCTAGGTTTGTAAATAAATGTCAGTGTATGTATGTATGTATTGGTCTATATGTGCATGTATGTGTCTATATCTATGTCTGTACACATAGGTGTGTATGTATACTTGTGTGCATATATACATATGTATGTCTATAGATGCATGTACATATATGTTTTAGTCAAGGTTGTTTTTATTTGCTTATTTTTAAGTATTTATTTTGTTTCTGTTTTATTTTGGAATTGCACATGGCATTGAACGTTTGCATTTTTGTTTTTGGAAGCTGCCTGAGCCCCTTCAGGGAGAGGGGGCGGGTTAAAAATAAAGTTCTATTATTACTATAAATATATATTCATGGGTGTGCATGCATATGCATGTCTGTGTATGTGTTCATGTCTATTTCTACAAGTGTGTGCATGGGCATGTAGAGTGCATATTCTTAAGGATCTGTCTTACCTTTCATATAATAATAATAATAATAATAATAATAATAGATCAGCCCCCTCTCTCCTGACCTTCAGGAAAAAACTTAAGACATTGCTTTGGGACCAAGCCTTTGACCAGTAATTTGAGTGGTAAAAAAAGTGACCACGAATTAATGTGATTAACAAACGGAACAGCTCTGGATTATGATTTGGATTGTGTGATTTTAACTGATGTTTATTTATTTATTATTTATTACGACATTTATATAGAATCATAGAATCAAAGAGTTGGAAGAGACCTCATGGGCCATCCAGTCCAACCCCCTGCCAAGAAGCAGGAATATTGCATTCAAATCACCCCTGACAGATGGCCATCCAGCCCCTGTTTAAAAGCTTCCAAGAAGGAGCCTCCACCACACTCCGGGGCAGAGAGTTCCACTGCTGAACGGCTCTCACAGTCAGGAAGTTCTTCCTACATGTTCAGATGGAATCTCCTCTCTTGTAGTTTGAAGCCATTGCTCCGCGTCCTAGTCTCCAAGGAAGCAGAAAACAAGCTTGCTCCCTCCTCCCTGTGGCTTCCTCTCACATATTTATACATGGCTATCATATCTCCTCTCAGCCTTCTCTTCTTCAGGCTAAACATGCCCAGCTCCTTAAGCCGCTCCTCATAGGGCTTGTTCTCCAGACCCTTGATCATTTTAGTCGCTGCCCTTCTCACCCCGAAGAGGATTCAGAGCGGCTTACAAGATAATATACAATATATTATATTATAAGCATAATAAGCATAATAAAATATCAGTATTATACATTACTATATTGTACTATACCTTTATATTGTAATATTAATAGTAATATCACATGTAATATAAAATATATAATTATAATACTGCATTATTATTAGTATTATACATATTAGTGTTTACATATTTGTGAGAATTCCGGCAGTTAGGAATTGTGGGAGTTGGTGTCCCAAAAACCTGGAGGGCCCAAGTTGGCCCACGGCTGATATACACACAGACACATATTGAGCTCAGTTCTTGTGGGTTTTTTTCGGGCTATATGGCCATGTTCTAGAGGCATTTTCTCCTGACGTTTCGCCTGCATCTATGGCAAGCATCCTCAGAGGTGAGGTCATATTGAGCTGTTAGGAATTGTGGGAGTTGGAGTCCAAAGCACCTGGAGGGCCCCAGCTAGCCCATGCCTGGGATAGATGCCTTCCCTCCCTTCCCTTCCCTTCGGCGGGGCCTCACCGCTCTGCTCGCCCAGGAAGACCAGCTTGAACTTGCGCAGCGGGTTGCCAAACTCTCCTCCGCCTCCTCCTCCTCCTCCGGGCGCGGACATGGCGGAACCGTGAGGGGAAAGGACCCGCAGCCCCGCCGCACCGCTCCAGCCGCCGAGAAGGGAGCCAGCCCAGTGCGTCACTTCCGCCGCGCCGCCGAGGAAGCAGGATGAGCTCACCGCACCTCAGGGCGGGCGCGGCGCCGTGACGTCACCGCGCAGGCCGGCGCCGTGACGTCGCCGAAAACCTTTAGACGAGGCCCCCTACCGCCCTTGACAGGTAGGGCTATTTGCAACACTTCAATCCAATGGAATCCTAGGACACTGTAAGGTTTCTCAAGGTGTTAGAGAACTTCCTGCATGCTTCAGGACTCAATGGTAATGACAATAATAATAATAATAATAATAATAATAATAATAATAATAATAATAATTATTAAGGCTTTCATGGCTGGAATCACTATTGTTATTACGTTCTTGTGGGTTTTTTCGGGCTATATGGCTATGTTCTAGAGGCATTTTCTCCTGACGTTTCGCCTGCATCTATGGCAAGCATCCTCAGAGGTAGTGAGGTCTGTTGGAATTATGAAAATGGGTTTATATATCTGTGGAATGGCTGGGGTGGGGCAAAGAGCTCTTCTCTGCTGGAGCTAGGTGGGAATGTTTCAACTGACCACCTTCATTAGCATTTGAAGGCCTGGCTGAGCCTGGGAAAATCTTTTGTTGAGAGGTGATTAGATGTCCTTGTTTGTTTCCTCTCTGTTGTTGTGCTGTTCTAATTTTAGAGTTTTTTAATACTGGTTGCCATATTTTGCTCATTTTCATGATTTCCTCCTTTCTGTTGAAATTGTCCACATGCTTGTGGATTTCAATGGCTTCTCTGTGTAGTCTGACATGGTGGTTGGTGTGGTCCAGCATTTCTGTGTTCTCAAATAATATGCCATAGATGCAGGCGAAACGTCAGGAGAAATGCCTCTAGAACATGGCTCTATAGCCCGAAAAAACCCACAAGAACCTAGTGATTCCAGCCATGAAAGCCTTCGACAATAATATTATTATTATTATTATATTATTATTAAACTTTATTTGTACCCCGCTAGCATCTCCCGAAGGACTCGATGCGGCTTACAAAGGCCAAGGCCTCAACATAACAACAACAAACAATAACAATGCAAGCAAATTAAAAACATAAGCAATAACACAACAAAACATTACACTATTACACAATAAAATCAGGGCCGGGCCAATGATGGGTACAGGTTAAAAGTGCTGGGTGTGTGAGGTGGTATGTTGGAGTTCTGGGCAAGTGCAATGTGCAGAGAGTATTAAACTCTAATAAAGTGCTTCTGGGACAGAGTGTTGGAGATTATCCTATTCTGGGAAGGCACATCGGAATAACCAAGTCTTCAAGTTCTTCCTAAAGACTGCCAACGTGGGTGCTAGTCTAATGTCTTTGGGGAGGGTGTTCCAGAGTCGGGGGGCAACCACAGAGAAGGCCCTGTCCCTCGCCCCCACCAAACGCGCCTGCGACGCAGGTGGAACCGTGAGCAGGGCCTCTCCAGATGAACGCAGTGAGCGTGTGGGTTCGTAGATGGAGATGCGGTCACGCAGGTAAGCAGGTCCCAAACCGTTTAGGGCTTTGTAGGTAAGCACCTGCATCTTGAATTGGGCTTGGTAGGTAAATGGCAGCCAATGGAGCTCCTTAAACAGGAGGGTTGACCTCTCTCTGTAAGGAGCGCCAGTTAACATCCTGCCGCCCGTTGAACCAGTTGGAATTTCCGAGCCGTTTTCAAGGGCAGCCCCACGTAGAGCGCATTACAGTAATCCAATCGAGAGGTGACCAAGGCATGGACCACCCCGGCCAAATCAGCCTTTGCAAGGTACGGTCGCAGCTGGCGCACAAGTCTTAGTTGTGCAAAAGCCCTCCCGGACACCGCCGACGCCTGAGCCTCAAGCGTAAGTGATGAATCCAAGAGGACTCCCAAGCTGCGGACCTGTGACTTCAGGGGGAGTGTAACCCCATCCAGCACAGGTTGCCACCCTGATCTGGTTTACAATCGACCAGGAGGACCTCTGTCTTGTCGGGATTGATCCTCAGCTTGTTCCTCCTCATCCAGACAGCCACAGCGGCCAGGCACTCGTCCAGCACCCAAGGGGCTTCCTTGGAGTTAGGTGGAAAAGCATAGTAGAGTTGTGTGTCATCTGCATACAGATGGCACCGAACTCCAAAACTCCGGATGACCTCAACAAAAGATTGCCCCAGCACTGCCAGGCCATCAAATGCTAATCAAGGTGGTCAGTTGAAACATTCACACCTAGCTCCAGCAGACAAGAGCCTTTGTCCCACCCTGGTCATTCCACAGATATATAAACCCATTTTCCTAGTTCCAACAGATCTCACTATCTCTGAGGATGCTTGCCATAGATGCAGGCGAAACGTCAGGAGAAAATGCCTCTAGAACATGGCCATATAGCCCGAAAAAACCCACAAGAACCTAATTAATAATGATGATACAGTCCTTATTAATAATACCAATTCTTATTAATAATGAATTAATGATAAAATTAATAATAAAACCAATAAGAAAATAAATAAATAATAATAAAGATAAAATAATTATTGATAATAAAATTAATAACATTATTAATAATGGAATTATTAATAATGGAATTATTAATAATAATAATAAATTAATAATAATGATAAAATTATTAATAAAACCGATAACAAAATCAATAATAATAAAAATAAAAAGATAATAAAATCATTTTTCATAGTAAAATTAATAACATTATTAATAATGGAACAGAGATCACTCTACAATGAAAGAAAGCAATTTCCCAACTCAGATAATATCAGATCCCTTTGTGTTTGTATGTGAGACACATGATCCTTTGGTCACCAAGATGAGCTTAAGAGATTTACCTGTTTGACTAAGACTAGAAGCTTGCCATTCCCATAGAAAAGAAGAACAAACAGATAGGAATGCATTAGTCTCCTGAATAGGCAGCCATGTTCCTAGTTATTTGGGATTGTCATATTTTGTGTTTTGGGTCTTGCACCTTTGTCTCTACAGAACTGGGCACGTCAATCAATCAAGGAATGATCTGCATACCCATGCCATCATTTCCCTTTGTTTTGCACCCTCCCAGGGGGTATCTCTGCAGTGGACTGGACCTTTAAACCAATCACCAGCTGTTCTTCTTTCTGCCATGGGGATCCACTCCTCTTGTCAATGACATCAGGGAAACCTGCAGCCAATCCCTGCATAGATTTTAGCCATATATATATATATATATATATAGAGAGAGAGAGAGAGAGAGAGAGAGAGAGAGAGAGAGAGAGAGAGAGTAAGCCGCTCTGAATCCCCTTCGGGGTGAGAAGGGCGGCATATAAATGTCATAAATAAATAAATAAACAAACAAACAAATAAATAAATAAATAAATAATAAACATCAGTTAAAATCACACAATCCACCTAAACATAAGGAATTCTGAATAACTGTCAGCACTGTATAAAATGTCTTGTATTTTTCTGTGAATTTATGCTTGCAGATTTTGAGCATCCGCCAGTATTTACATTCCTTTCAATCAAACTGTAATACACCTCTGTAGTTTGTCTTCAGTCCGGAGTGCTATATCTATAAGACTGTTCGGAAGCTTCAAATGGTCCAAAGGGCAGCAGCCAGGTTATTAACAGGAGCGGCGCTCAGGGAACTCACTACTCCTCTGTTGCATCAGCTCTACTGGCTGCCAATTTGCTACCGAGCACAATTCAAAATGCTGGCTTTAGCCTATAAAGCCCTAAACGATTCCGGTCCAGCTTACCTGTCCGAACGTATCTTATCCTATGAACAATCTAGGAGCTTAAGATTGTCTGGGGAGGCCCTGTTTTCAATCCCACCTGCCTCTCAAGTGCAGTGACGAAGGACAGGCCCTTCTCAGTGGTGGGCTCCTGGCTATGGAACTCTCTCCCCAGGGCCCCCTCCCTCCTGCCTTTCCGGAAAAAAAGTAAAGACCGGGCTCTTTGAGCAAGCTTTTGAGAAAAGATAACATGGAACTATGTATGATGAACATGGAATGGCCAGACGATGTTACTAGATAACATTTTTAACAAGATGACACCGATGATTATGTGCTTTAATGGTTTTTATTGATGGTTTATATTGTAATGTTAATTGTTTTTAATGGCACTTTTATGAATGCCTGACATCAAATTGTGCCAATCTGCAACCCGCCTTGAATCGCCATATGGCTGAGAAAGGTGGGCTATACATATCGTAAATAAATAAATAAAATAAATATATATCCTGGCCGATCTGATTTAGTGGAAGCTCACCAGGCATGGACCTTTTTATCCATGTTCCTAGCTGAAATCTCAACATCCACAAGGAAGTATAGAATGTAATAACCATCTGGTCTGGTCCACTTATCAGAGGGCAAGATAAGCACAGGGCAAAAGAAAATAATGGATAGGACTATTGAGCAATGGGTTCAAACTGCAAGAAAAGAGATCCCACCTAAACATAAGGAAGAACTTCCTAATAGTAAGAGATGTTTGGTAGTGGAATATGCTGCTTTGGGAGTCTGGTAGAGTCTCCTCTGGCAGTTCTTAGATTGGATGGCCATTTGTCAAGACGGCTTGGATTGTGTTCCTGTCTGGCAGAATGGGGTTTCACTGAATGGCCTTTGGAGTCACTTCCAACTCTACTTTTGTAATTTTGCTTGAGATTTGCTTGAGATTTGAGATGTCCCTCGCTTGTGATGTCTTGGTAGCCCTAATTCTTTGTCATCATCATCTCTGTATATCCACTTGCCCCATGCTCTGAGACCAGTGAAATGTCAAGGACACCCAATACAGCTGTGCAGTGTGATGGTGGCAAGGAGATGCTTCTCACTGTATATGCTTACTGCCTGTCTGCACAAAAATGGCAAGTAATCAAACACCAAGGGCCAGAACATCCCATGGCACTTGGCGGTTTGGGACCCGCCTACCTTCATGACCGCATTTCCTTCTATGAACCTACACTATCCCTTCGATCTTCCAGAGAGGCCCTTCTCTCACTCCTACCCCCATTGCAAGCGCGACTTGTGGGAATGAGGGAGAGGGCCTTCTCTGTGGTGGCCCCTCGGCTCTGGAACTTGCTCCCCAG